TTTTGTGCTGCACCAAAATTAAAACTACATTTAAAATTAAAACATAACCGTCATTCAAGATTTCATCAATGAACATGGTCCATAATTAAACCCGTTTATTAAATTTTTTTTTCGACTGTTGTAATCAGACGTGTTAGGAAGGTTTCCATCTTTTAGATTTTCTTTAGTCACTAGTTTGCATGTACTGGGAAAAAAAAAGAAAATAGAAAAAAAGAAAAACTCTAATTTGTTACAAAAAATTTTTTTTTTCTGAACAGGACAATTCAAGAGTCATACTTGTTAGTTAATAAAGTTCTCAATCCTAACATTTTGTATGAATGTATAGCCCAAGGAAAGTGAATTTGTGTATGAGGCTTTTACATCAAATGCATGTCAGATGTTTTGCCAAGGGAAGACCATGCATGCAGATATTTGTATATAGTACTTAGTCTATAATTACTGGATTTTCCCTTCTTTCTGGTAGGTTGGGTCGGCATGGTAAACTGTTCCTGACGGTTCCAAGTCAAGACACCACCGCAGAGCAGAAGTTTATCCAGAAAGGAGAGGCAGATGGGACAGACTCCTTGTTTGATCTTGATCCTAAAGACAATGTTTTTATCGTGGGAGGAATGCCTCCTGATGTAAAGGTGCAAAAATCTCTTTTTTCTAAGGACAATGTCTCAAACAGGGGTAAAGGCTCTGATATACTCACAGTGAAGTTCTTTTTCATTCTTTGTTTAGGGGTAAACATAAATTTGAAATGCCTTTGCAGCGGTCTACTCTTAGTGAACATCCCAATGCTTCCCACACTGCTCAGAGTGGTGTTTAGATGAATATGTAAATATGTGCTGTGCTTCTTCTCTCAATAACAAAGTGGTGAGAAAATAGCAGTTAAGAAAGCATCTGATCGTTATGATGTGGATTTGTTGCACGAGCTCTGCACTTCAGTCAAGTAAAGTAACGTTATGTTTAACACTTTATGCGATAGTTTGCACTAGCAACTTTATAGTATTAAACACTTAAATTTCTACTATAAAGTAGCTCTCTAGTGTTTTCTTAAAAACTTTTTTCAAAAGACTGATCAGAGGAAATGAACCAGTGAAAAATGTATCTTCAAAGAAGGTGGAGTACAATGGTAGTGTGAAGGTGTTTACCAGCCAAAATGACATTTTCTAGAGATTTGCTTTGGCAAGCGGTTTCAAATTCCCAAAACAAACTCCAAACAAACTTCGTTTTGACCTGATTTATTTATATATTTTTTCAAAATGAAGTCACACCAGTTCTTCTTAAGATTTCGCTTGAAGTATATCAGGGTCTTAACACTTTATTTCGATAGTCCACTTTAGACATTCTACTAAACTTTAAGTAACTTTGCCATTTTGTGTGATGTTTGCAAATGTCAATTACAAGTCATTAGAGTTTTAGTAGACTGAATATCTGCTAGCACTTTATACATAGCAAGTACATTTAAACTTTTTCCGATGACTCTAACCCTAACCCAACGTAAAAATCTATGAATACTCTAATGAGAGTGGACTATCGAAACAGAGTTTAACCCAGTTAAAGGGTAATTAATTAATTAATTTTTTGGGGTAACAAATTCATATGAATAAATGTCCATCATGTTGTTCCAGCTTCCTCCAGCGTTGACCTTGG